TAAGCCAAATTTTTGGAATTGATTTTAAATGAGATTGTTCTAACTGCAGAACTTTATTCAAGCTGAAGGACAGCCTATCAAACCAGAATATGAGGTGATATTACATAGCTGATCTGGTACAGCTTCATGTAGGTTTTTTATTAAATTATATAAAAAGCAAGAATAAATGGGCATAAACATGTATATTTGTAAACATCATCAAGAATGTAAAATTTCTGCAAAACAATGGGATTCATGGCAACTGAGTGCTGTGGAATCTGACATGCACAATTATACCCCAGTTTCTGGCCTTAGTGTGACAGTTCATTATGTCATGATGTTTTTAAATTGAGTCAGACACAGTTGTGGAGGTGAAAAACTCTTTCTCATTCTCACATAATTCTTGTTATAGACTGTTAACTTTGAATAGGACAGCTACCAATTATTTTCCATAAAAGTAGAAAAAATTTAGAGGGAAAGGTTATTCTTAAAAATTAAAATGATTTAATGAAAAGTTCTTATCTTCTGCAAAGACAAGACAAATCTTTCAAAAATGTTCATGCTGCCTGTAGATAGAAGAGAAATAATGTTCAACTTAAAGTATTAGAGCATTCTTCCCCACTATATTTTTTTGTGAATTTAACATTGACAAAAGGTGGAGGGTTGTAGCCTTTGAATTCATCTTAATAGAGATGAGACATGAGGAATAAAAGCTTTAGATGCACTGCTCTGCCATGATATTCTAATATTCATGTGAAACTTTGAGATTTGACTTTTGTCTATGTAGTAGAGAAGCAAGTCTATTTATTACATTTGTGAACATGTATGTGAACATAGCCATAATCCAATAAAATGAAAAATCATCTCTCTGAGTTTGTCAGGTAATGAATCTGCTTTGTACCACTAGCTTCTTGTGAAATAAGCTAAAACTGAAATCAGAGGGTTATGACTTCCTTGACTGCTACTTATGAACATTGTACTTGTACATGTAGGGACAGTGGGAGATTAACTGAAAGCCATACTAAGATTTAGATCTAAACCGTGAATTCACTGTGTACCTAATCCAATAGGTAACCAATTCATCCTCCTGGCATGACAACCAGTAAAAGCCAAATCCCAATGAATCCCGAACAGCAAATGAGAGTTACATGTAGTACAATCTCTGGTAGTTGGAGGCAATACATTTGGTTTCCCACCCTGAGAAGGATCAGATTTTACAAGGACTATCTAATGATGATTTCTCTACATGGTATCAAGTTGACTTTCAGCCAAGACCAGCACATTTGCAAACTCATGGTGGCTAATATAAAGACTGGAAATTGAAAAGGAATGGGCAGCGCTTGTCCTTATTATACCACTGCAGTTTACTGAGGTAGGGTGCGTTTTCCTATCATTTGGAAAGCGTTAGCAGGGAGACGATGATACCTTTCTGAATCACCTGCCTAATGATGGCTCTCACAGGAGCTGAGATTTGCAGTAATCAGTGTAAGAGCTGAACAGAACTGATGAGTTCCAAGATAAGGGAACATGCCTGTGTTTATGCTCCCATCTTGGATGATCAAATAGAGAAGCCTCTGGCTGAAGCCTTAAAATATTCCATTCTTTGTGCCTCTCTACTCTGAGGTCTGTATAACTTTTTCTCTGAAGTTATGGAAATTTTGTCTAGGACACTTTATTATTTTTAGTGAATATTTAAAGTGTTCATTATATTTTGAGTAGCAAATTATTTAATTATTTTTTTTCGCAACTACTTGCTGGTATCCTCTTAGATGTTACTGTATATAGCCCATGTGTATAGTACCAATATAGAAAACAGAACCAGTACTCTAATTTTACCATGTTCAAGTGTTCTTTTCACTACTGTCAGCTCAGAGAGGGGAAACTTTATTTCCGTCTTCTCCCACAGTCTTCAACAATATTTTGTCTGTGTGGTCCTCTTCCAGCATTTTTTGAATCATCTTTCAACCACTATCAAATTTATTAACATCTTTCTCAGAACTTCTTATTGCTTCATGCTGTCCAAATACTTGCCACTTTCTTATCAATACCCTGATCTTTTAATTTCAATGAATGTATCTTATCTTTTTAGTAATTTTCCAGACAAACCTGCTTTCACAATTACTGCCTAAAGGAAAGCCACCATATTATGTGCAGTCAACAAGTCTTTTCTATTTACTTTTTCTTTTATCTTTTTTACTTATTGCAACATTGAGACATTTGAATAGCACTATTAGAGTTACAGTATCTTCCACCCCTATGCAGGCATTTGTTTCCCTTCATTGTAATTCTAGGGGCTCTGTCTGTGCCCCTATTCTCTTCTCCATATCAAGAATATTTTCATGAAGGAGTTTTAACTGGGTTGGTTTCTTGAGTCTAGTTTCATAACTGCCTTCCCCTCTACTAATAATTAAAATGCACATAGGTATATTCTAGGAGCAGAAGATCTTTTGAAAAAATAGTGAGGAAGGGGAGCTTAGCAACTGTTCAAGGAAACTTTTGCCAGGGAAAAGGTTTTACATGGGAAGGAATTTATTCTCATGCAGGTTGCTGTGTATGTTCTCTTTATATGTCTGTAGAGGTAACTCCCTTACTACAAGTGATAAAATTCTCACAGACACACCTGGAGGCCCCCTCAGGGCAGCCAGGTAGGCCATAAAGCACAGGGGGAGAACTCAGCCTGGGGTTTTATTGTGCATGTGAAAGGTGTTGTTATAAAAGCAGAAAACCAGGTTTCTGCCTTTGCCTTCTCTGCCAGCTACATTGCAGCGTTCTCAACTTTAGCCACAGCCTGGTGTCTGATGTTACCTGTGTGCATATCAAGCCTTACAAACAAAAAAAAATTATAAGTGTAAATAATCTTGAATTACCCTACTAGTGCTCATTAAAAAAAAAAAATGGGTATTTGTTAAGTGAAATTGAATATGCACACTTTTTTTTAAAGCAGAAGAGAATGAAAACAGCTCCTGATATGTTTGAAGAAAGAAGTTAAAACTAGCTGTTCAACCTCTTAGACAAAAATGTGTTTTATTAAAAAAAATCAAGATGACAAATGTATTCAAGATGATAATTTAACTTTTAGATAAATAATGATGTCTTGTATAAGTAAAAAGTCTTGTTCCTTCCCTGCATACCATATTAATGTTTGCTGCACATCAGAAGACAGAAATTAACCTTACATTTGTGTAGCCTTTTCCGACTCTACTCAGAAACACTATTTAACTTAAATTAGGTGATATTTCCTAGCTCCTTCTATGATAAAAACTGCAACCCTCTTTACATAAGATATGCCCAAAAGGGAGTCTAGTTTTGAATTTAATGTTCCCTAAAGATCAATAAATCTTTTTCTTTTCCAGTATTTGATGGGCATCAAGACCTTACCAGTCTCACTGTCCATCAAAATCAGCCTCTCTCTTTTCAGTTTGCTCTTTTGGCTGAGCTTCTTGAAATGCTCTATGGTAATTCTTTCAGAATATAATCATTGGTGCTGATTAGAAAAGAATGAATTATATTGCAGGCTGCCCTAACAGATAATATGATCAACAAGCTATTCAAGCTACAAAAGTTACTTTTGCTTTCCACTGGAATTCTAATGAAGAGGAAAATGCCTTACTGACCCCACATGCCAAGGGTTCCAAAACAGCAGAGATCCCTGAATTATATGCTAGACTGCTGGGACATTATAACTGTTGTTCATATTTTTGTTGTCTTTTTTTTTTTTTTACAGTAATAAAAGCAAAGAGGTAAGTTCAGGGTAAGAGTGAAAATGGAGCTCGTTAACGGCTTTTTGTTAACTAGCCATTGTTTTCTTCCTTTTTTTTGAGATAGGAGCATTTCTTTGCCACTGTCAGCAACTGATGTTATAGGAACTATTCTGAAAATGCCCAAATGCAAGTGTTATCTTCAATTATTGTAGCTTTGTTTATATTCATCCATATTGTTATTATTAATAGTATTTGTATTATTGTTATTGTGACTAACTGTTATGATTTGTGGACCTTCTCATTAAGAAAACAGAAAACAAAATAGTAGGATCTACCCCCCTTGTGAGTTACACTCAGAACAATTCCATAGTAATAAGGTTGGACCAGAGACAGGATACTGAGAAATATGTTGACTAACTGAAGATATGGTGTAAGGGAGGTGAAAGCACTTTTCTTTCTCTGTCTTCTTGAAGGCAGGTTTACAGCTCAGTCCTATGTAAATTTCTCTCCTTCTGTAAGGAAGTAATTTTTTCCTTCTTATGAATCAGATTTCTCTGTTTCTCCTTATTACCTTAAAATGAAATCACCATTATATAATAGTTGTGATACACAACACATGCATACTTAATTAACTTTACAGTGTACTGAACTTTACCTTGACTATTTTTACTCATATTTTATTTACATAGTTTTCTAAATGATATGTTGATCCTTTTAAGGAGGTGTGGCTGTTGTCCATTCTTACTATGGTCTCTAGCAACTAGCACCTCACAATTTCAGCCTTGAACTTCAAGCTGCCTGTAGGTTTGCTTCCTTAAAAGAAACTGTGGGAAGAACAGATTTCTCAAAACAAAAAGATCTATCCCTCCATGCCATAGATCCAAACCCCAGATACACAGCTGTAGAGAATAGCAGCAATTGTGTTCATGAGGCATTGTACAAAAAAGATCCCTATTCGAGGCAAAAAACCCCCCACCAGAAACCCATACATTTTTAGAATTTTAGAACCTTGATGGATTCTATCTAATTCTGTAAAGCATAACAGTTCCACTCCTCCTTTTATAGTAAAATTGGTAAGATGAAGAAAATTGTGTATATATATATATATATTCATTAAATAGATTTTGAAAAGATTAGGTGTGTTCTTACTTTGACAAAACACTCCAGTTCCCTTTGAGTTTAGAATATAAAAACAGTAAGGAACTCTTTAAAGAAAATCTACTGAGAATTCTTCTCTTAGAATAATGCACAGATGCCACACAATTAAATATAGTTATATAGAATTATAACTCAAACAACCCCAACCTTTCTTTTTCTTACCTGCTGGTTTACGGGAAAATTCCTGTTGATTTTTTTAATCTATAAAAATGAATAAAGAAATAGATTAATACTCAGTCACTAGCAGAAAAACCAAAACCAAAACATTGGATATATCAGACACTCCCTTCCAAATTGTGCATGTAAAAAAGAAAATAAAATCTCCTGCAGTAAAGGAACTGAAATTTTTTACAAGCTCATGTGAATAATGGGACATTTCTGGGGTTATTTTGTGGTTCAGTCTAATGCTCAGAACACAGGAGAGGAGACTACATGCAAAAAAATTGCTGGATTCTACAGGAGAGGCAAATACATGCAAAATTATTTGAATTCTATAACAATATGTCTTTTTCTTTTTTTTCAGATTAGAAGCTATAAAATAAACTGGAATATTTAACTGTAAATAAAAGTAATTCACAGCAACTTACTGCCAACCACTGAAGTCACCAAGCTTTAAGTAATTTTTTTTCCTTAAAGAATGATGAAAATTTGGGCTGGAACAGCCTTGCAAACATCCCTTACTCTACCGTTTTGTTCTATGTGCAAAATCAAGTATGCAGAAACAGTTGCAATAATTGTTCAAGTAATTTTTCTTAAACATTCAACAACAGCCCCAAGTAAAAAGTAAAGAGAAAACCACTCTGAGATACCTGATTCATGAGAAGTTTGTATTTAGCTCTGCAGTTCATGGACTCCCTCTAAATAAACATTGCCAGCTTTCTGACAGAAAAGTGTCCAATACAAAGAAAATTATGTGTGGAACATACCCACTTCCAACATTACTAAAACAAATGTGTTCTTCTTTAATTTATGCATAAACCCTGAATGCTTTTGACCAAACCTAGTAAATCTACAGTATGCATTCACGACAGATGCTTAATATCTAGAATTCATTTTTTGCTTTCTTACGGTAATTTTTAACAATTTTTTTTTTTTTTTAGTTATGGGTAAATGAACTAGAACACATATTTAAAGACATTGCCAAATAGGAATCTATATAGAATATACCTGAATAATCCAAAAAGCCCTGAAATCACAGTAAAACATTTACACTGCTTCAACCAAGGTGCAACATCTTTTTAGAAGAAAAGAAAAATCATAACTGAATTTCCTCCAGTGTTTACAATATCATCCCCAAACAACTATATGCAGAGATGTGAGTGGCACTGTGTTTTGCAGACTTCAAAACCACTCTATGTTTGCTGCAGTGGTAAGTTCTTTGCATTTCTCATGCAAATACTGAGCGAGTCTGCCACTGACATCCCACAGTTTTGCTATCAAAGGATAATTCGCACTGTCAAGAACATCCTGGCAAGCAATTGCAGTTGTTTTTCAAATGTATCCTGAATCAAAAGTGTCAGAAGTACATTTCCATCCTTCCTTCTTGCATTTACATCAGCATCAGCTTCCTCCTTTCTTCAGTGTTATTTAAGGGGAAGCACTAGAGGAGATAAGACATTCAGTGGCCAAAGAAATAGTATAAAATTATAAGATACTTATAAGATACCAACTATCTTACATGAATTTTTAAAAGAAAAGACAGATGAAACCCCCTTTTTAATAGAAAAAACTTATTTGAAGGCTTTTGGGATTTATTCCTAAATCAAACATTAACTACTCCAGCGTGATAAATCTCTGTTTGTGTTTGTAGAAACTATTAAAGTTCTTGTCAAAACTGTTTATTTTCATCTAGTTTAAGCAAAGACAAATACCCTGAAAATTTTAAGTTATGAAAGAACACTGTCAAGAGATTTTACTATTCTAAACAAAATACTGAAAATATCTATTAAGTAGCAAATTACAGTTACATATTAAATAATTCAGGAGTATTTTTATTTACCTCACAAATAGAGACTAATTCTTTTAAACAGATATAAAGTACATTAGGAGCCTTGTGTACTTTGAATGTTCCTGTGAAATGCAAATGCGTAATTGGAACATTATTTTCTCATTCAAAAATTTCCATCTAATTTTCTAAAGTACGATCTAGGCACCAACGTTACATAGTTGTCTAAACTGTTGTTACTTTGATTAATTCAAATAACTATCTTTATCTTTCAGGTACTATGGTGACGGTTTCCTGAAACACATTATTGTTCATTCTGTTATAGTTTGCAAAATCCAGTATAGTTTGTTCAAGTCTACCCAGAGTTGAGAATTGTTAAGTGTAATTAGTTTTAGTACCACTTAAATGTTTGTCATTCACATGCATAAATATTGGACATTACAGGAAAAAAAGTTTTACAGTTACGCAACACACAGAAAGAAAACCATTAGCCAACAGTGTTCTTCCCAGAATGTTACAATGAACGTTGAGTAAAATTTAATCTACAAGTGATCCAGATCTATAATCCTTAAGAATTAAAACCTAAATGCAAACATTTTTCATAAATTAAAAGAGAAAAAAAAAATCTTCTCTTACTTGATGGATTATCTAAAAGAGAAATGCTTCTTCAGTTAACTCATGTGCATGAATAATATGCTTTTCATCAGAGGACATGAGTAGAATACACTTCAAACATATATGCAGGCAATATTTTAAAATAAAATACACTGGTAGATACCATACTAAAAAAAATAATTAAAAAAAATAACAGGCACTCTGAGAATATTCTTAATATTCTTTAGAAATATATGTTTAGATGTATTTCTCCAGAGTAATTAAAAATCAGGAATGGCACAAAAGGAGACAAAAGAAGAAGCTAGAAAAGAAATTCTGTTCTGAAGTAAAGATAGAAGAAGCATTATGTAAGCTGCAAGAACTATCTGCTTCTACTTCCTACTAAAAAAACAGGTGCTGAGGGGCGATATTCTATTCTGGTTCAACTTCCATGAATGCAAATTAGGGAAAAAAAATCTAAAAATACCATACAGAAAGTAATTTGGGATCTGGTGATCACCTCAACATGGAAAAAGGAAGAAGGTGTCAAAAATAAGGTCTCTGCAGTATCTTGAATCTGACTACCAAATAGGCAAGTGGTGTTGATACAATACCAATAATGAAATCATAGAATCATAAGAATTGTTCAGGTTGGAAGAGACAGTAAAGATCATCTAGGTCTAAGTCTCCTACCATGGGCAGGGACACCTTTCACTAGACCAGGTTGTTCAGAGCTCCATCCAACCCTTCCAGGGATGGGAAACATATATTTTAGTGAAAGATATCACAGAGGATTGGTTTGAAGCATAACTGATTGTTGGCAGTACAAAGAGATTTGACTATATATGTTTCAAAAATTCAGCTGGACAATATGTTTGGACATCACAGACATGAAAAATTAGAATACTAGTCAGGGAGATGACAAGAAGTGGAACATAGAGAGGACCATGGTCAAATTCAGTAATTTTTGTGCACTAGATGTTGCAATCACAGATGGACAGTTTTCACAGTGATGGCTATACTTGTTCTGCAGAAGAAATAAATGAAAACATCCCTTCTCAGCAGGTATTCAAATGAGCAGGCTTTTGCTTCCTGTGATCACAGCAATTGCAAATGTTTAGGTTTTTTAATTTTTATTATTTAAATTATTTATGACAGAGAAGCAGGAATGCAGAAGAATGGTGTTCCACACTATTATCTTTCTGTATGAATTGTAGCCTATTACTGTTGCCCTCTGCTGAAATGAAGCTGATTAAGCTCATAAAAGTTGGATTTTAAACTTCCACATTTGGTTAAAGCAGAATTGAATTGTTCATTCCTCTGAGAGATACTATATCAGACCCTCTTTGAGCAAATAGCACTGCAATAACTATTTTCAGTTTCCATAGGAGGATTTTAAAGCGTAATTTGAAAACTACTATTTATTGGGGGTTTGTTTGACCTTTTTTACCTATTTGTATTAATGAAATTTGCTATTCCAACGTAATCACAGGATTCTCATGAGATGATGAGGAAATGTGCCTTTCAATGAGCACTAACGGACACTTAAGAGTAGTAAGACCAAGGGGTAAGAGCACTTATTCCAGGGTTTTCCAATCTTAAAAAACTTAAATAGAAGCAATCAGATATTTGAAAACTCTATGTATACCATGCTTACTTCAATCCTATTTCCTGATAAACTGTATTGTTAAATGAGACTCACAGTTCTAATATATTAATGGAAAAGATGACTAATGACCATGTGAGTCTCAGGTATCACAGCTGGTTGTCTGCAAGAAACAATATAGTAGGTGTTAGTTGTTAGGACAGAGTTCCTGACAGAGACCATTCCCTTGGAGTACCTACAGGAACAGCCAAGACTGAAGGGCAAAATATGGAATGAGTGGGCACCAGCTCCTGTTCATTATTTTGCTGACTTAGGCAGTAAACAAGATTCTTCCATGTTTTCACATATAGTTTGATCTATCATTTTCTTGCAGTCTGTATATATCATGTAACTTTGCAGGTCTCAGAAATTTTCCACTTAAAAAAGAACCCTTTATTGATTTTTGCTAGCCAAATATAGATGGATTTCCCCAAACAATTTAGACTCTGCAGCCTTCTTCATGAATTGTTTGCATTACACAATTGCTGATTTACATTCATTAACAGCTAATTAAAATGTAATAGCTTGACAAGAATGTAAACTCATTAGCTAGTTCTTCATCTCATGCATTAAAACAAGAATAGAGTTTGTGCCATTGGGATGTTAAGTGATCACAAACAGGAAGCAGGATCATTACAATTTGGAGCAATTTGGAAGAAAACATAAATCCACGTTGTGATAATCTTATGTTAATGACTAAGAAAGAGTACAAAACTAACACTGGAAATTAATCGTTAGCTAGTCTTATTTTCTCTGCTTGCTAGGCTTGTGTTTGCTCAGTGCAATAGGTAAGTCATGATAGTCTTGAAATGTTATTACCCAACAGTATATGTGCATTGAAAGAAACAGGGAATCAGAGAAGAAACATGCAACAGTTCACACAAAAAGCATCATATATTGGTGAATGCATTCCAATATATGTATAACTTCCTATAGAGTAAACATAGGAGTTCTTGATGCAGATTTTACAAGCTGTAGTAGGTTTTACAGTTTAGGCTAAAAAAGCATGTAAGCTAG